CCTCAATGTGAGTGCCAGGAACTGAATCTGGGTCCTCTATAAAAGCAGCAAGTACTTCTAACCACTGAACTACCTTTCCAGCACCGTTACAGAGACATTCCATGAAGGAATATTTGTACAATCTTACATTTTAATAAGAACCAACCACATTTATATTGTTCAGAGGTGTTAGGTCTTCTGGCTCTTATCATTTAATAGAATTTTCAAGATTAGTATTTATTTAAAAGGAAACAAGCTATTATTGCTGACCTTAATTGGCTGTGTATTTGATATGTTCTTACCATCTTATTTTTTTATAATCCACTTTTATCCTTTGGAAATAAAGAAATGGTAGTAGAGATTGTGATTCAGATCAAAGGGAGGCATTTATTGAACTGATTAAAGAATACTTTGAAGGAGATTGATACTTTTATTTGGACGAAAGTGAGATACAAAGACTTGTTGAGAAAATAGTAGCAAAGAGAAATGGTTATTGAACACAGTTAAGAAACAAACAAAACAATCTGAGTGGAATAGTGTTGCAAAGTGCTCTACCAAAGGAGATTGTTTCAGCTTATAAGATGATTTTATTGTTGGGTGTGGGATTGCAGGGAGGACTTGTTTATCCTTACACCGTGTGAACTTTAAAGAAGCAATGAAGTACTATTCTGGTGTTCTAAGTAGAGTCTGTAGACACTGCAAGCTGTAGTGAAGAGACTTGTAGACTGGGTTTGAGACCAGTTGTGATGCTGATTAGCACTTCTTTGCAAGTAGTCAAGTCCACTGAGACAGGTTTTAAAATGTGTAACAGTCTACATTAAGTATTTTAGAATTCTAGTGATTGACTGATGGCATGACTGGCCTTTTCAGTATCCTTCTTTTCAGTAGCATAAACAAAAGTTTATTGATAGCACAGTAAACATAACTTCAGTCAACCTTTTCAAGCCCACAGAGTAAGACCTGAAGTACAATTTATATTTTGCTTCAAGTATTACAAACTCCATCTGTATCAGCTTTGGAATTTTAATTCTGTGTGTTGCTTGTAAGAATAAACTGATTAGTGACCAAATTCTTAATTTTTGTTATTCAAACCATTTTTCTTGAGTTTTCTTTCTAATGCTGCCAAAAATTTCAGACTGTTCAGTGGATCTGTAATAAACTTCCAAAATGAAGGGAAATGTCTTACTCATTGTTTGCCTGCAGTCTTGGCTTGAGTTCATCTTTTTTAAACCGAAAATAAGCTCCTTAAACATCCACAAGTTCACCTGCTAAATCCTTTTGAAGATCTTCTTGCCAGTGTGTTAGAGCCGTTCTGAGGCTAGTGCATGTGCACAGTTGGACTGAACAGTAGTCATTTTTTTCATCTTTCTTTTCTTTTTCTTTTTCTTAAAGGAGCTCTGGCAAAGTTCTACTAAAGGAAAACTTTCCCGATTTACTTTTCTTTTTTCTTTTGTTTTTTTGAGGCAGGGTTTCTCTGTATAGCCCTGGCTGTCCTGGAACTCACTCTGTAGACCAGGCTGGCCTCAAACTCAGAAATCCGCCTGCCTCTGCCTCCCAAGTGCTGGGATTAAAGGTGTGCGGTGCCACCACCCGGCCCGATTTACTTTTCATTCGTCTGTTCTCGCAGGTTTCTAATTATAAATAACCAGAATCACTTGGAATCACCTGGGTCAATGACAGCCGTTATGCATACTCTGTAGTATTTTCTTCGTGTTGTGCCCAATTCAATGTTATTGCCACTGTAGTGATGGTCACTAGTTTTAGCCAACACGGTGTAGTATTCTACTTCATCATCAAAGTTCATCAAAGCTGGGCAGTTATCTTGGATAATCAGTTTCAGTCTGCCCTGTCTATCATCCTCAGTATTTACTTGTATCCAAGCATATACTTCCCACTTTCCATGGAGCCTAGCATTGTTTGACTCCAGAGACTTTTTTCATCTTCTTTGCAGCCACCACCTTCCTGCCTTAGGTATGGGATGGTCCTCAATCAAGATCAGCCACTGCAATGGCTGGGGAGTGCAGTATTTATTCATTATGGTACTTTGTTATTATCATTCTTCCTAGCTTTTCTATGAAATCTTGGTATAAATGGTTTTTCGAGACAGGGTTTTTCTGTGGAGCCCTGGCTGTCCTGGAACTCACTCTGTAGACCAGGCTGGCCTCGAACTCAGAAATCCACCTGCCTCTGCCTCCCGAGTGCTGGGATTAAAGGCATGCGCCACCACCGCCCAGCTTGGTATGAGTTTTTGAGTGTCTTTGTTCTTACTTGCCTTTTGTTAATGTCAAGCATAACGTGAGGAAATTCAGTGTTGCTATGCAACTGCTAAATTCAATATTTATTGTTAGTAAAACTCAATAGTGCTAATATCCATTGAACAAAGAACAGCAAAATAAGGATTTATAGTATGCAGTGCATATGTGTAAGGTTCAGTATGTTGTGGCAAGTGAATAGAAGAGAAATGACTTATATATGGTTATTTTTTAGAACAAAATTAGTTGAGGCAAAACCTTTTATGACTAAATTTGTTGTGTTGTTGACTGCTTGCTTATTTTTGTCTGAGGTCATACTCTCATCCCCCTAATATAGGACTTTAGTCAGTAGCCTAGTCTGGGTATAAAACATGCTGTGTAGCATAGCTCTGAACTTGTGGCATTCCTCTATGTAGCCTCTTGAATGCCTGTTATAGGCAAGTATCTTATCCAGCAAGCATTCCTCTGCATCCCTTCACTCCTCTACCCTGCTTTTTTTGTTTGTTTTTGTTTTTTGTTTTGAGACAAGAGTTTCTCTGTAGCCCTGGCTCTCCTGCAGTTCCTTTGGCCTCACCCAGAGATCTGCCTGCCCTCTGCCTGCAGAGTGCTGGGCCACTCTGTTTTTTGTTCTGTAATTTTTTTTCCTAATGATTATGTATTCTTGAATTTCTTTCTTAATTTCAGATTTTGTTCTTTGAAAGTTTTGAATTATTGTTCCCCAAGCTGTTGCTTCCTTTTCCTCTTTCTACTTTACCAATATTTCTTGCTGTGTTTACATTTTTCCTTTTTGGAAATTGAGGACAGCCATAGCATGGTGATACACAGTTGTAACCATTGCACTCTGGAGACTGAGATAAGAGGACCAGAGGATATTATCCTGAGCTATTTATATAAACCCTGTCTCAAAAATAAGATTTGGCTTACTATGGGAGTTTGGAATTTGTTATAATTTTATATAAACACAAATGAAAATATTAGATTGATCTTTCATAGAAGAACTACCAAACCAGCTGGATTTTTAGTTACTTAATGCCTTCTAAGATACTCAAATGCTTTCCGTCATATTATAAAAATAAGAATTCCTTTCTGGAAAATAAGGGGACTTAAGAGTTGGAGACTGTTTTGAGATTTACTTAAAGGAGCAGAGGTTAGCTGTTACTGAGAATGTATAGTCTCCAGGGTTAAAGATAGATAGTATCTAGCCATTAATTCTGATTATACCACTACCACCCCTACCTTCACACTCCTAACTCAAGGCCTTTCTTCCTTTCTAGTGTTTGAAAGAGCAAGAGGACACAGTAACTAATTACATTAGGTAAATAACAAGCAGCTATTTGATTAGTGAGTAATTTAATTTTGTTAATACCTTTAGAATAATTTGATGTCAAGAAATGAAATTGAAAAATAATTGCTTTCTAATGATAAATCAAAAAGTTACAGTTTAAAAATAATATAAAATCAACTCTAATTACAATACAAACTTCAGCAGCTACTGTATTGAAAATTAGAGGTTTATAGGAAGTAGGGCTAAGACATTTTAATTACAATATTTATTTTTATTATCAGCTTAGCAAGTTAGTACTGTTTCTGAAGTCCTTCTTTCACTTTTAATTTTAATTGTGTATGTATTTTGCCTACTTCTGTGTCTGTGTACCATGTGCATGCACTGCCTTTGAGACCAAAAAGGACATTGGATCCCCTGGGACTGGTGTTACTAAGAGACAATTAAGAGCCAGGATGCCAGGAATCAAACTCTGGTCCTCTGGAAGAGAAGCTGAGCCATCTCTCCAGCCCCTTAAAGGCCATCTTTCCTGTCCTCTTTTGCTTTCTAAATTCATTGATATTTCTATGCATTTGAAAAGTAATAATGTGTATCAAATGTGCATGACATTAATTCTTTCTAAAGGTCATAGTTAAAGTACATATGGATTCTCAGATCATTTGTAATAAGTATTTGAACTTTATAGTGAGGTCCTTGACATTTTTTTTCTTTTTTGTTTTTTGTTTTTTAAGCCACTATAGATTTCACTATTCTCTCTTAGGTTTTTCTCTTTCTTTCATATCAACACACAACAGCAAGACATTTAAACTGTTTTTTATTAAGTACATAACAGTATTTGATGTAATCAGTTAGAACACCTTGTTTTCTTTTTCACACTGGTAAAGGATACAATGTTTTTGAACAATTTTGTACAGCGAATGTGAATTTTTTCCTCATTTTTTCCTCTGTGTACCTAGTGAGTCTTAGCCTTAAAAATGGATGAAGTAGTTAATATTGTGTTGTGAAATTATACACAACTTTTCCTTCTAAAGTATTGTGAGAGGTGAAAAAACTGCTCTTGAGAATGTTTTTTAGAAATCTATTCTTAACCTGAGAGAAATGTATGTATTAACTGTTATGCAGAAAAAAAGGGGACTGTTTGAGATTATTCTAGAAAGTTGGTGGAGTTCGGAAGCATGGCACTTCATTGGGAAGGCACTTTTTCAGAATCTAATTTCTGTAGAGTTTTGTAGATGTAGATACTGTGAACCTCCATTCTTGGTTGTTTCTAGTTTCTGTTTTGTCTTGTCTTGTGCTTGAATGTACTTTGAATCTCTGTTGTGTTAATCATTAGCAGAAATGCAGATGTTCCTTTTAGATTTCTCAGAGACTGTTTCCTGAGCATCCCTTCAGTATTATAACCAGTGATTCTGAGAACCAGAAGACAGTATTTTTCAGTGACTATTGTGATGATAGATTTTATTTATTCATTTTTTTTATCCTTTCAGGATTTGAAAGTATTCTTGAAGGGCTGTTTGGATCTACATTATTAAAAGACCTCAGTTTATTTAAAGGTATTCAAAATATTTCTGGTATTTTACCATCTTTGTTGTTAAACCTTGGTGATTTAGGTTTCTTACTCAGTTTTGTAAGGGTTAAAACTGCATTCAAGGCCACATGCTTGTGTTTAGTTTATACTATTAGTATATGTATAGTTAGCACAATTAACTATGAGCAGCTAGGAACTGAGTAAAGAGTTTTATTTTTAGAGTTTTAAGACAGAAGTGGCCTGGAGGGCACAGTGGAAAGAATCTCAAGCTGTGACAGTGAAGGTAAAACACACATTTTTGCATGTGTGAGAATCTGAGTTTGATTAAAATACAAGAATTTAAAGAGAAATGTAAAATACCTACCTTTTAATGAGGTTTTCATAAACTGTATAATAGTTTTGAAGTTAGTTCTGATTCATTTTCTGAAAAATTCTGTTTATGATTATTAAAACTTGTTTTTCTAACTTTTGCAGAGTGTGAACCTGAAAGCATTTCTGATTGGGCTTTTGATGAAAATTGTCTGTTCTGTTGCTTGAGAAGAGATAAAGTAAAGGTAACCAAGAAGCTTAGGAGTGTTGTCTAGTATGGTATTTTAGTTTCTTTAAAAGTTTTTGAATCATTTTATTGGAGGATTTACAGGAAAAGGAAAATTTGGTTGCTTGTTTATAAAATATTTGATAGTAGCTGTTTTTTCAGTTTAGACTATTTTTAGTGTGTTGATTAACCTATTAAGAAATCTTATATCCTGACATACATTGTCTTATATACATTTAGGCAGAAGAATTAACTGGGTCTCAACTGTTAAGTTTATCTTAAATATAAAGTGTATGGTAATTCAAGAAACAGTCATTTGTGATACAAGAAGTTAGTAATTGTGCAGACTTAAGACTTAGTTTCTGTTTTTAAATGTTTCTTTATAATAACTGGCCATGACTGCTGTTTATCTTTAATTAGAAATTAGCTCAACCTTTGTGTTTCTGTGTTACTGCCTTAAGAGAACAAAACAAAACAAACAGAATTTTTCTCTGGAAACATTTCAGTTACTGAAAACTCAGTGGGCTTAACACCCTACCTTGCTTTCATGGCATCCTGTTTCGCACAGTTTCCTGCTGCAAAGTCTAGGAAACATTCTGATTTCTACTTTCTGCTATATAGTAACTTCAGTTCATTGGCAAACTTGTATCAGTTACTCCTATTGCATTTTTTTTATCCCCACAGACATCACTGTAGTCTATACCTGTAGTATTATTCCTGGACTCCTGAGATAACATGATTCTTATTGAACAAAAGCCTTTTCCTTTTTTTAATCCTAGGCGTGTGTTCCTAAGTACCTCTTCTGTAGCTTGAAAACCTCTTGCTTTTTTATGCCTCTGCTGTCCTATGAATGGTGCACACACACTCCTAGTGCTATTTCCTCTTTAATACTATTGAAATCAATGTAATTTATACAGTTATTTGTCAGTTGATAGTATGCCTTGTTTTCTCCCTTTTCTGAAAGTTTTGAGTATTTGTTTTTGCCTTTATTCCAGTTGCTGAAGGTAGCCATGCTTATCTCTTCTTTGTCTCTCTCTGTACTACTGTCATACTGGCTATTGTCAAAAAGTAGCTTTTGATATCTGAATGCTATCATGTGGTGGTTTAAGAACTTCTCACATTCACATATATTAGTGGCATCTTTTTTCTTGTTTTCTCCATGAAAATCATTCTTACTAATATTCACAATGATATATTTTGTTAAATAAATGAGAAGATTGTTTTGAAATTTACTGGCTTTGAAAGAGTACAGAATACTCTTGCCTTCTTGCTCTTGCTCTGTCCTCTTGCTCCCTTCCCCACCCCCTCTCCATGTGTTCTTCTCTTCTCCCCTTTTCTCCCCTCCCCTTCTTTCCCCTCCCTCCTTTCCCCCTCCCCTTTTCTCCTCTCCCCTCTCCTCTCTTCTTCTCTTCCTCTCTTTCTCCCTCCCTCTCCTCCTTCCCTCTCTGCTCTCTCTGCCTCTACTACCCTTCTAACTCCCCTCCTCATGCCCTGAATAAACTATTCTATATTTAAAAAAAAAAAAGAGAGAGAGAGAGAGTACAGAACAAAGCAACATTGTCAAGAGTAGCCTGTAAATGTAGTGGATGTTTGTTTAAATTCTGTGTGTTTGCATTTATGTGTGTATATATGGGATGTTAGCTGTTGAGCAAATCATTTAATAGGAATTGTGGTTAGAAGAGAAGGAGAAACAGTAGTTTTCTTTTCATATTAGAATTGGGAAGAAAGCCATTCTCTGCTGAGTGATGGATCAGTATGTTACTATAGTATGATTGAGAGTTTTCTGTTGATGTATAAGGACAAAATATTGTGTTAATATTCTTAGGAGAAACAAATAAGAGATGAAATAATGTATCATTTAAAATAACTGTTTTTGTTCATTGTAGTTTTGCAGTTTTTAGTTGAGTTTTTAACTGGAATATTTTTTGTGGGGAGGAGGATGTATGCATGAGAGTGCACATTTGTGCAGGTTTACTCACCTATGCTTGTGTACACATATGGAGACCCAGAGGCTGACTTTGGATGCCTTCCTCTATTACTCTCCACTTTATAATTTGAAAGGCCTCGCTGAACCTGGATCTGCTATCATCCAGATCAGCCGGCCAGTGAGCTTGGACTCCACCTATGTCCCATTGTTCTCCTCCCTCAGGGCAGATGTCTCAGGTGTGTACTGGCCACGCCTGGCTTTTTCATGGGTTCTGGGGATCTGAACTTACTGAGTCATCCCCCCAGCTGGTTCTAAGAGTTTGATTTCTTCACTGGACACCATTCAGTTTCTTTGATTTGTTTTTAAGAGAGTCGTTTAGTACTGGAAGACAGGAATTGAAGGAGCCTAAGTCATATAAGATTTTATATATAACCTTTGTTGAATTATATTGAAAGTGATTATGCTCTGGGACTCTTTGTAGGCATTTGTAACATCTTTTCTGAAAAAGATTAGAGTTGAGAAATAAACCCACTGCTTTGAAACTAACATCTGTAAAATATAACAAAGTGAAAAGACTAAGAAAATAGGATAATACTCAATGTGTAGCAGTGTTGTGCCTGTTGCTGGAGTCTTGAGTTTGGGTTTAATGATGAGATAATGTAGAGTATGTCTGGAAAAGCAAAGCAATGGCCATTTGAGAAAGAGGCAGATGTTTTCTGTTTTATTTTTTAATTTGAATAGAAATTTTAGTGAATAATAAGGGAAGTAGAATGGATAACAAATACAACTTCTACACTTACATGTAGATTTAAAAAATCACAGAAAAGCTAGCTATCTTTGGGAAATGGAACTGATAATTCACCTGTAGGTTACAATGGTCCTTCTTTCTGGAGGAATGTATTCTAAGACCTATGGTGAATGCCTAAAATCACTGCTGGTATTGAGTCTTGTATGTATACTGTCGTTTCTTCCTCCTCCTCCTCCTCTTCCTCCTCTTCCTCCTCCTCCTCCTCCTCTTCTTCCTCCTCCTTTTCTTCCTCTTCCTCCTTCCTCTTCCCCTCCTCCTCCTCTTCCTCTTCCTCCTCCTCTTCCTCCTTTTCTTCCTCTTCCTCCTTCCTCTTCCCCTCCTCCTCCTCCTCTTCCTCTTCTTCCTCCTCTTCCTCCTCCTCTTCTTCTTCCCCTCCTCCTCCTCCTTCTGTTGTTTTTGTTTTGTGTGTGTGTGTGTGTGCATAAAAGCCTATAGTTTATAATTAGGCACAGTAGAAAGTTAACAATAGTAACCAAACTTGTAACAATCAGAACAGAACACTTCCTGTTCATGCTTCCAGTCATCAATGTAATGCCTTTCCTGCCTCAACTAAATATTCTGATGTGTCATGGCTATAACTTTGGCAAAACTAGCATACATTTTACTTTTACTTACAGTTTCACAGATTAACCTGTTAGTCTATTGAGTTTTTTTGTTGTTGTTGTTTAATTTTTATCCTTTTTTTGTTTTTGTTTTTCGAGACAGGGTTTCTCTGTGTAGCCCTGGCTGTCCTGGAACTCACTCTGTAGACCAGACTGGCCTTGAACTCAGAAATCCGCCTGCCTCTGCCTCCCAAGTGCTGGGATTAAAGGTGTGTGCCACCACTGCCCAGCCAATTTTTATCCTTTTAAGATTGATTTATTTCATTTTCATATGTATCAATGTTTTTACCTGTATGCATGTATCAATGTTTTGCCCACATATTTGTCTATGCATCATGTTCATGCCTGGTGCTTGCTAGGGTCAGAAGAGGGCATTGGATTGTCTAAAACTGGAGTTATGGATGGTTGTGAGCTGCTGTATGGGTGCTGGGAATCGAACCCAGAGCCTCTACAAGAGCAAGTGTTCCTAACCACTGTACCATCTCTCCAGCTACTATTGGTTTCTTAGCACACTCAGCATACAGTTTTTTAATTATTATTTTTATTTATTTTAAACTCCAGATTTAACCCCTCCCATCCTCTCTCTGACTGTTCCATATCGTGTACCTCCTCCCCGCCCCCCTGTCTCCACGAGGATGTCCCCATCCCACCAGACTTCTAAATTCCCTGGGACCTCCAGTTTCTTGAGGGTTAGGTGCATTTTCTCTGACTGAACTCAGACCTGGCAGTCCTCTGCTGTATATGTGTGGGGGTCTCATATCAGCTGGTGTTTGCTGCATGGTTGGTGGTCCAGTGTCTGAGAGATCTCGGCGGTTCAGGTTAATTGAGATTGCTGGTCCTCCTACAAGGTCACCCTCCTCAGCTTCTTCCAGCTTTTCCCTAATTCAACCACAGGGGTTAGCAGCTTCTGTCCATTGATTGGGTGGAAATATCTGCATCTGACTCTTTCAGCTGCTTGTTGGGTCTTTTGGAGGGCAGTCGTGATAGGTCCCTGTTTGTAAGCACACCATAGCCTCAGTAATAGTTTCAGGCCTTGGGGCCTCCCCTTGATCTGGATTCCACTTTGGGCCTGTCAATGGACCTTCATTTCTTCAGACTCCTCTCTATTTCCATCCCTGCAGTTCTTTCAGACAGGAACACTTATGGGTCAGAGTTTTGACTGTGAGATAGCAACCTCATCCCTCACTTGATGCCCTCTTTCTGCTGGAGGTGGGCTCTACAAGTTCCCTCTCCCCAGTGTAGCACATTTCATCTAAGGTCCCCCTCTATTTGAGTCTTGAGAATCTCTCAACTACCAGGTCTCTGATACATTCTGGAGGGTCCCCCCAACCTCCTACCTCCTGATGTTGCTTGTTTCTATTTTTTCTGCTGGCCCTCAGGGCTTCCGTCCTTTCTTTGAAGAATAATGTGTATATGTGTGTGTTGGGCATTGGCAGTTGGGACCAGAAGCACTGGATGGATCTCCTAGAGCTGGAATTACAGGCAGTTGTTAGTCACCTGATTTAGGTGCTAGGACTTGAATTTGAGTACTTCTGAGAATCGTAATACATAGTCTTAACCTCTGGACCATTTCTCCAGCCCAGCATATGATTTTTTTATTCTTATTATGTGAAGAGCTTTGACCTCTTCATTTATATGAAGAATTTTTATGGCATATTGGAATTTCTAGCCTCACTAAATGT